TGACACCCTCGGATCTATAGTGAGCATCACCTTAGGTATAAGAACAATGTGTTTTGCAGTTAAAGACAATTGTTGTTTTTATGGGGCATGCGGAACCTGGCTGGAATTAGAAAGTAGAAACCATCAACAAACCGGTAACACCGATTTTTCTTGCGCATTATGCACTTTGCACGATGTGCACACATTCAAAAAGAAATAACGTGAATCCATTGTCATTGTTGTCACTGTTACGTTACGCAGTTAAACTCAGTTACATTATGGCATCGCACTCAAATCTCAGCTAAAATCCTTTCATTTCACTTGATTACAAACCACTGAGTGACTACTCAGTAATTGGTTGCTACTTTATATTTTTTCTATCTATTGAAGGGTAAAATTAAGTGAAAAAAATAAAATACAATTAGATAATTGAACTCTTCTATACAGCACATATTGTCTATATTGATAGTTATCAATTTGTTGATTACTCTGTCTTTATGTTTACTTATGCACTTTCGTAATTTTATGTTTCTTCCATATTTCTTTTCCATATTTCCTTATGCATATATGTATAGAACTCAAAAAAGTTTTCATAGTTGTGAAGTAAATGGGGTTACCTAAAAAAAAAAGAATTTCTTTGGCTTCATTCAAACCTTCTTCACTCAATTCTGTCTTGTCTACATGTGTTCTTGCACTAATTATCATGAAACTTGGGCGAAAAAAAAAGAGCGACATTGTCTTTCATCATTTCCTGATCGGTTATGTCTGCAGTAAAAAGATGTCTTATACCAAATGAAATCATATTTCTTTTTCTGAGCTATTAAGTTCTTCATGTTCGTTGTTTAGTGCCCGCGTTTAATAGTACTTCCAGTCTGTCATAGTGTTGCATTGTAAATGGTAGATTTGCAGACAGAAGATTACCTTCTGATACTCTATTTGTGATACTCCATTATAGGTTTTTTCGCGGCTAAACTATATTTGACTCCGAATAATCGTGCAAAATTTCCTATATGTAGAGTGTTAAAGTAATGATAGAGTAGTAACTCCTGATGATGT